TTATCTTATCTTATCTTATCTTATCTTATCTTATCTTATCTTATCTTATCTTATCTTATCTTAAAGAGGGGGTCCTACCCTCTGCGTGGCGTGGTTGAGCATCTCCTGCCAGGCGGAGTCGAACTGGCGGGAGTCCTCCTCCAGCAGACGCTCCTCGGCCAGAGCGATGGTCTCTTTGGCCGCTCTCAGGATCTCCACGGAGCGCTGGAACTCCTGGGTGGCTTTCTGGGCTTCAACCTGAGCCTTTAGATCAGAGAGAGAGAATCCCCAGGTATAGACTTAGACTTGTTTATGTTTATGTTTATGCATTTGGAAGAAGTTTTTATCCAAAGCGACTTAGACTTTGACTTAGAATTAGGAAAATTAACTCATTGACTGCCAGAGTTTTTTGAGCATTTTGACTGATTTTTCTAGAGCCACAGAATAGTTTGTGCTATGACTATGTAAACACCGAACACAGCAAAAGAAAGAGTAGACTCTCTTCTTTCATCAGGAAAAAAAACGTGTTTCTACCTTATTCCGTTCTTCCTGGACTTGCGTCTCACCGGCGACATGTTCTCTCATAGAACCGTTCCCTTTTTCTTATTTGCCTACAGTCTATGCTCATCTCCCATCAAAAGTGGCACTGCCCCCTAGAGGGTCAATTTGTTACTACATACTCTGTCTAGAAGCCCATATTTACGGACAAGCTTTAGCAGATCGTCCCCCAGACACTCTCATTAAAAACATAAAAGACCTCTATAGACGTCTTTGGCAGCCAATGAGTTAAAGGAAATTAAAGTTACCAGCAGCTTACGGGGCAAAAAAGTGGCACAGAGAGAGCAAAATGCAAAAAAAAATTAAATAAAATACAGATTAAGTACAGGTACACACTAAATGTGAATAGTGTGTAAGAATATAAATACAAATTAAAAACTAAACACCCCTAAATGAATAAAAATAAGCAAAGAATAAGAATATAAATACAACGAGAAAATAAAGACCCCTGAGAAAATCTAGGAGTTTGGATAGATTGACCAGTGATGTGGTTTTGCACTGTGTGGTTTGGCCTGATAAATATGGAGTTCACATTTTACAGAAAAACACTAGCGTTGCTACTCCTTCCCTCTTCCCTTTGTCTGGTGTCATCAACTGTCAACTTTGGTCTATTGTGCTCTGTTTAACCCTATAAAGCCAAATGTGTCATATCTGATCGGGTTTCTTTTGGATGTGAGACTTTCTGCATCATTCAGTGGTAAAAGCTTTGCTCAAACCCCTGTTGTACACATTCAGATATACCTGATAACAGCCAGTAGAAGACTACACCAACATAGATTTCTCACTTATTGCACGCTAATTTGATCAAAATAATTTGTGTTTTTTTTCTTCACATGTTGTTGAGGGGCCAAAGAAAGACTTCAGACTAAAAAAAAATCCAATATTCTTCCTATTTTTCTTGGATCAGGCTTTAAAGGGTTAAGCTCCCGTCCCTGTAATTCCCCGGCCCTGATGGATCAGACAGAGTGGAGATGAGAGTATCTGTTTTCTGAGCAGCAGTTAAAGAAAAACCGGAGTTACTCAGTTATTTAGACAAGTCTGGAAAGAAAAGTCTGGACTTTAGGGCAGTGTGACTTCACAGATCCTTTAAATGCACAGAAACTTACATTACACAAAGAGGAGATATTGAAGCTGCAGAAAGAAAAATGAATAAATAAAGAAACTGAAGAGGTGACATTGCATGAGACAGTCCTGAATCGGATTAAAATCTTGTTTTTGCCTCAGAGTGGAGGCCAGGTCTGACTGTCTGTGAGTCTGAGTCTGTTTGGCCTACATTTGCTTTGCAGGAACCATGTCTGATTCCTTATGACAGCCTAAGAGGGACTAAGAGGCTTTTGGTTCTGCTTAAACACTCACAGAGAGACATAACCAGAACCCGTAGACAAACAGAGGCTCTGTCTCTAAGGAAATCTGTCATGTTGGCAGTGGGCTTATCTGGCCCACAGTTCCAGTCAATAGAGGGATTATATTATTATCTCCAGGACATATTTGGACCCACTGGTTTGCTCCCACAGGCGAGAGCTAAAGGTCAGACCACTGGCCCAATACCAACATGATCAGATTTCAAAGTCCAAAGTAAAAATAATTATACGTCATCCAGTTCTTATACTTTTAAAATCAAACACAAGATTGATATCAGGGACAATAATGTTCAATAATCAACATGAGAAAAGATTTTTAAAAGATTTTTAAAAGACAATTCTGCAATTGGGCCATCAATACTTATTTTAGGACACATTTATAATAATTAATTATATATATATATTATTATTATATTTTATTATATAATATATATCATTATATATTATCATATAATATATATTATTATATATAAATTATATATAATATAATTTATAATAGTAATAAAGTCTCTTTTTCAAACTTCCACACTCCAGCAGAACTGCTTGTATAAAATTAAATAACTTTTTAGTGTTTTATCACTCTTTTCTTTTCTCTATGAATATTGTCTTTTGTGAATATTGTCTTTCACAGAGGTTATTGCTCTGTTGTAACTATAGACTATTTGTTTTGACTAAATATAACAATGGGAGGGGGGGGGGACTTTTTTTCCCACCCGAGGCAGCTTTGACCATAAACTAAAGCCAGTTATTTATTTTACATTATACACCATTTCAGTGTCAACCACCAGTTTAAAATCCAAACATACTAATTATTCTGACTTAAACCATCAGCAAAATCTTCAAACTTTCATATTTTTCTATGAAGTGGACCTCAGCAATAATTCTCTAGCTTCATTACAGAGAGATGAACCCTTTTATACTGATCTAGGAATCATTAAAGTATCCAAATCTCCAACTAAAGGAATGAACCAGTACAGTGTTGAGAAAAAAGTCTAATTATATCTTTAGGCCCTTTGTTGCTAGTTCCCTGTTTCAAAGACAATCTGTTGTTCCCATTTGGTTGGAAAATATCTTGCATCTTTGGAAAATGCAGAAGATAACATAGTTTGACAGACATAGAGTAGTATTTTTAAATAGAAAAATAAGTTCTTTCCATTTTAGAAATGAAACATGGCTATGTGTGGAAGAGAGACAGTCCTAATAAAAGTGCTGACTATAAACTCGTGGGCCTATATATCACACCAGAACGAGCCATTTAAGGGAATTATAAATGGCTGAAATAAATGGCTAGTTTTATGAAATCATGCCCCAAATCAACCGAGCTGGTTCTGTTCTGGAAATATATTTTCCTCGTGTTAGCCCGTCTGTATGGTCATATTAACCCTGCACATTCATATTGCACATTTCAATTGTTCATTTGTACATTCACACCTGTATACATACTTTTGATATTTGTAATTCAATATTTAACATTGTATCTTTGAGTCTTACATCCATATTTCTATTCTCAGATCTATATTTTTAAAGATTGTACTTTTTTGTTTTATATTTTCTGTTCTATATTTATATTTCTACATTGTATTTCCTTCCTTGCTTCTCATAGAAGTGTTGTGCACCAAACACCAAGGCAAATTCCTTGTAAGTCAAAAACCTACTTGGCAATAAACCTAATTCTGATTCTGATTCTGTCAGATCCCCATGTTTAGGATAAAGCCTCCAATAATGACAGGATCAATCATAGAAAAACAGCAGTCAGCAGTAATATCCATAATTCCTGAGGCCTGTGGAGGCGGGATGAGAGGGTTTGAAGCCACTTGAGAAACAGGAAGAAACCAGTGACCCACTTCCCAGACTCTGAGGAGGACGAACGGGGTGATGGATATTTGACCAACAAAACACGTCATTTCGGGTGAAAACTCAACAAAAATCCTCGGTTTTCCTGAGCTGTCCTGGTGTTTCAGCTCCAGCTGAGACTGTAGTTAGTGTCTGCTGACCATACGGGATTCTAACGTTTAGCAAAAAAAGGAAACGGACAATTTCCCCATTGTGTTTGTGACACAAAGCCCACTGAGCTACACAACACACACACACACACACACACACACACACACACACACACACACACACGTGATGGGCTTTGTTTCCAGCTCAACGTGACGTTACACAGCCCACGTTTTGTGTAACGAACAAAAATATAACGGGATGATTTTCTCTAAGTGATGACACACTGTCACCTCGTGATATTTACTAAAGGATAATTCAGATTTCAGTCTTTGTGTGTGTGTGTGTGTTTCAGCATTCAAGTGACTCATTTAGATCCATGTTTCAGAATCACTTATCCGGTCTGGCACAGAAAAATTCACCCTTTTGACATTTTGTGAAGATGAGAGATGGAATATAAAATATTAGAGACCTTGTAGGAATGTGGGGAGGCGGGGGGGGGGGG